GTATTTTGAGAAATGTTCCGCTGACCAAAGCCAACGGTGGGAATGAGCCGAGCTGGGAACGGATTGGGTTGTTAGATGTCTAGATCTAGATCTAGATCTAGAAATCTAGATTAGGTTAGGTCTAGCAGTGAGAGAGTTAAAAGACTCGGTGTGCTAAACTACACACGGTTCTATCAGAGAGGAAGTATCCAGGGCAGACCTGTCTTTTCAATAACTCACACGGAGCTGAAAGTAGGGTGACACAGAAGTCCAGGAACCAACAGGGTGTCCTTACCTCTGCCACAAGTCTGGGAACACACCCACCACAACAAACAGTAGTTACACTCTGCCACAAGTCTGGGAACACACCCACCACAACAAACAGTAGTTACACTCTGCCACAAGTCTGGGAACACACCCACCACAACAAACAGTAGTTACACTTGGCCACAAGTCTGGGAACACACCCACCACAACAAACAGTAGTTACACTTGTCACTTGGCCGTCCGCTAAAACTTCCCTTGTGGTTTTTACTTTTTTGGACCTGACCTCTTTTACCTTTGACCTAGTAAGAGTCGTGGGCGAAAAGTATCGCAGTTTTATTTATTAGATCTATTCATTGGATTATTATGTTTGTGTTCAATTATATTATATTGATATAGTGGTACTGGTAGTTTTATTCGTCTTTATTTTGTTTTCCTTTATTTTCTCATTAGTATAGTAATTTTATTTACAGGATTTATTTACATATTTTATTTTTTCTCATTCGTACAATAGTTAAAGTAATTTCAGAGAGTTAATTTTTGCATTCTTTCATATATATGTAAATAAGTTAGTAGCCTATAATTGTTCAGATCAAGTATCCATTTATTTTTGCATTCTTTATTAGTATTAGTACAGTAGTACAACATCAGAGAGGGTTTACAGTATTATTGTTAACTCTCTGATAACATAGGAGATTTGTTCAATAGTACAGGAGTAGAACATAGGAGATTTGTTCATTTATTTTTCATTTCTCTCATTAGTACAGCAGTATAACATATATAGGAAATTTGTCTTAATTTATAAAGCTGTAACAGCTTACTGTCACTTTTGAAGAAAAGAAAGTTAGGAGAGGATAGAGTGTCAAGATCAAGATTCACAAAGACAATGACAATGACAATATTTATTCATTTCGCAGGGAGAAATTTGTTTTGGTCGTTAACAATAGCAGTAGACGTTACAGTGCACTCACGCATACGCACAAAAAGACAGGACATTAGTAAATATACGCCTCACGTGCTGAAACAACCCGCTCCGTAAAACATTCTCTCTCTCTCTCTCTCTCTCTCTCTTTCTCTCTCTCTGTCTCTCTCTCCACCCCCACCCCTTCTCTCTCTCTTCCTCTGTTTCATTTGTTGCACTGTGTATTCAGTGACCTTACTGCAGTTGGTACGAATGAATTTCTATGCTATCTGTCTGTTATCTTGCTTTTTTGCTATGTCTGTTATCTTGGGTCTTTTTGGAAATGTATCTTTTACTGCGGGTCGATAATTGAAATTCCGTTGTTACCATTTGTTTTGAGCAGATATTTAAAGTAACTTAGATCTAGGTCTCTACCAATTGTTCTTGGTGCCTTTCTAATCAACTTGTTTATTTTTATCATGTGCTGCCTTCCCAAATTGCATTCGACCTCATTCGTAATTTCGTCACAAAGTTTCTAAAAAAAAGTGAATTCCAAGCATCTGAAGAATCACAACACTGAACAGTTCATGTCGTCATGATTGTCTCAGGTCCAGTGGGCCTTGGCCAAGGACTATAGGCCTATCTGCACAGTCCACAACATTTACAAAAGTAATTCTTAGGTAAAAAACGTATAGATGTGGCGTCGGTGGCCTTGTGGTTAGGCTCTCAGACTCGCAACCATAAGGTCGTGGGTTCGAATCCCGTCAAGGGCCCGACGTTGTGTCCTTGGGAAAGGCACTTTTCACGAATTTCCTCACTTCACCCAGGTGGGAATGGGTACCCGGCTATAGACAGCGAAAGATCTTGTCAGTTCGTTAGTGTTTGAGCGCTTAATGAGCTGCTTGCACTGTATGCTTCCCGGGAAGCTGAGAATGTTTCGGAGTGTTCTATGGTCTGCTGGGGTAATAATATAGTGTAAAGCGCATAGAGCCTGCTGTTGAGCGGGGATATGCGCTATACAAATGCTATCTATTATTATTATTATTATTAGATCTAGATCTGTAGACGGTGGTAGCCGTTGTCTCTGCAACAGTAGGAATGTGCAGTTGAGTTCAAACAATCGTAGATCTACCTTGATTTATCATAAATGAAAATGAGTTTCAAATTAATTAATAAGATAGGAAATTTAGTTTTAGATTTAGAATCTAGATCTAGATTAGATCTAGCTTTGTTGTCACTTTTTAAAAAATTTAGGATTAAAATCTCTCGATCTAGACCCCCAGTTTTTTCGAACTGTGAAGGATACGTAACTGCCTTTCAAGTTGAATTACAGGGGTTATTTTGCTGTCAAAACAAGGAATATTCTGCCCAAGCCATCTCGCTAATACTAATTAAAACTTGGACTTTGCTGTTCAGAAAAGAAAAAACAACATTGGAATGTACTCGGATTGTGGTCAAAGGGAAATAACTGAGTAAATTATTAATGTGCAAAATGGTATGGATTACTGCCCTTTTTTACATCACCGAATCCTACTGGAAAAACAATGTGTCCCTAAAAAACAAAAATCGTAAAGGACGAGCAAATTCGAAGGTAAGGTAACAAAAGATACAAAAATCCTCAAGAATGTTTTTCAACAAGTTCAACAATAGGCCTATTTGTCAGTGTGATATTTATTTTCTGCCTAGACCTAATCTATACTGCATACATCCTTTAGGTGAAATGATACAAATAATATTAATATTAATTATTGAATAAATTATTGAGAAATTATTTTGTTCTACTTCTACCTGATAATAACTGTAAATCTAAAATGTACAGTCTACAATCTAGTCATCTTACTTAAACATCCATAATGTAACAGATAGGGGCGAAGTGTTGATTTGTTATGGCTATGATTGTATTTTTCCTACGACAATGGGTAGCCCTAGGCTACAAGACATTAACATGTTTGTTTGCAGAAATCTACAATTAAGAATTGTCTTCTATTCTATGAACTGCTAAAACTGTAGCCCCAATTCTACATCCCCCCCCCCCCCCTCCTTGAAAACACAAAGAATATCATCCGATGAATAGTGAATACCTTTGAGGTCTGACTGACAGGGCACATTGTGATAGAGAAGAAAAGCAAAACAATGATGGACATATTTATTTCTGCAATTCCATGGGAGAACGCCTTAGTCCTGGCAAGCTTTCCATTGCAACAGTTGCCAAGGCGATGTGATCAATTAAAGATTCACAAGTTGCAAATAGGCCTCTACGCAAATATAAGGGGAGGAATTCTGTGAGGAGAGACCACTATGTATAGATAGAGGAAGGGCTAGGAATTCTGTGAGGAGAGACCACTATGTATGTATAGATAGAGGAAGGGCTAGGAATTCTGTGAGGAGAGACCACTATGTATGTATAGATAGAGGAAGGGCTAGGAATTCTGTAACAAGTTCAACAAGCGACCATTATGTCCTAACAAAGTAGAATAGAGGGTTAGGGTTTGGGGCAGGGGTAACGTTAGGGGTTGGGTCAGGGTTACGGTTGATAAGTCTCTCTTCTATATGCTATTATTGGGCGGTCGCTCATTACAGAAATCCTTCCAATGTTCCATCCAAAAGTACAAGTCGGCCTTCAGCATTTTGAAAGATTAAGGCTTGTAGTAAAGTGTATAATTATAACCCGCGACAGCATAAACAGGAGATTCCTTAATTCATGTAACCCCAAATATTGAGACAAGGAAAAAATATTATTTTTAAAAAGCTACAATATTTTTAAAAGGACTAGATCTAGATCTAAAATCTATATCTATATCTAGAATCTAGATCTTAGAGAATGATTCAATGGCAAAGCAATAATCTGCAACTGCAAAAATCTTAGATCTACTGAACAAGAGCTGAATCTGCCGTGTAAAGCACTTGAAACCTCACATCTTATTGTAAATAATCCACAAGCAAGGAATAACAACAACAGGGGGAACCAACAACTTCGTCTACTTTCACTTTTGCCCCGCCACAGAATTCTACACTAAGTGTAGAATTCTGTGTGCCCCGCACAACCAAAGCACCGGTTCCGATAACAAAAAGATCCGGGAGAAAAAGAGTGCAATATTTTTTCAACAAATGTAAAACAACTGACACACAAAATAGCTACAATATAGTAAAAACATTTATAAATTATTTACAGAATACGTTTTCTATACTTAATAGTCTTAAATTTTATCGTGATTTACTTTCCAGATTACTACGCCAAAGTCTGCAGTTACGTCCGTCCTAAAAATAGACCTCTCGATTTTGCCGGTGCGCGTCCTGCCAGAAAACACAGCAACGCAGATCTTGTCCTTGGGTTTTTTTTAAATATAGGAATATAGGCCTATATTATTTTTTGTAAGTGTTTTACAGCACTATCGCAACTGCATAGGTCATATGAGCACGTGGGACTCATTATACATTTTCAGTTGGTAGGAAATTTTGAATTTTCCCCAGGTGCCGGCCAAAGCCTACTCTTATAAATCAGGTTTGGACCCACCAAGAGATCTTTAACGTGCGCAACTTAATTGCAACGGGGAACTCCGAGATTGTTCGCCCTTGTCCGAGAAGGCTAGGTGTAGATCTTTCCTACCATAAGATCAGGGGTGCCGCTGAAAGATAGCAAAAAGAAGGAACCAAGGTGTAGCAGTAGAAAGGCTGCAGAAAGAGTCAAGAGCCCAGAGAAGGGGGCAAAGGAGGCCAGGGGGTGGAGGCAGAGTGGAGAGGTAAACAGACGACAAAACATTAGATACACGCCCAGACACAGACAACAAACACCACACTAAAGCAGACGACAAAACATGACACACACGCCAGGACACAGACAACAAACACCACACTGCTACCTTCTCAAATCATTTATTTCATCATTAATTCTTCAATAGTAAAAATAAAAATTTCCAAGTATGTATAATTCTGCACAATACATGACCAACTGACAACAGAATAAATTGCTTGTCTTAATCATTCATAATTATAACAATAAATAATGCCAACAATAAAAAATAACAATAATAATGATTATTGTTATAATGACGAAAATAAAAAAGAATAATTACAATAATAATTAATAACAATATAACTACATTGTTCCATTCCATAGGTTCTTAAAATGTGCATAAATTTAAATAAAGAAAATCTAAGGGCAAAACAACTACAAGCAAAAAAATTAATTAATTTTAAAAAAATACACTTGACGACAGAAAGCAGAGATTTCACCACAAAAAAAAAGAGAGAGACAGCGGGAATATTGAAATTGAAACAAAATAAATCATTGCACAAACTGGAGCATGTTTGGAACAACCAGGGGAGAAAACAAGTTTCTGAGTAGATGCTTACTTCACATCCCTGATCAGAACAAGCTCACACAGTTGACTATTCCTACATATACCTGTGTATGGTAGAACAATCTCACACAGTTGACTATTCGTACATCTGTGTATGGCAGAACAAGCTCACACAGTTGACTATTCCTACATCTGTGTATGGCAGAACAATCTCACACAGTTGACTATTCCTACATATACCTGTGTATGGTAGAACAATCTCACACAGTTGACTATTCCTACATCTGTGTATGGTAGAACAATCTCACACAGTTGACTATTCCTACATCTGTGTATGGCAGAACAAGCTCACACAGTTGACTATTCCTACATCTGTGTATGGTAGAACAGCCTCACACAGTTGACTATTCCTACATATACCTGTGTATGGTAGAACAAGCTCACACAGTTGACTATTCCTACATATACCTGTGTATGGTAGAACAATCTCACACAGTTGACTATTCGTACATCTGTGTATGGCAGAACAAGCTCACACAGTTGACTATTCCTACATCTGTGTATGGCAGAACAAGCTCACACAGTTGACTATTCCTACATCTGTGTATGGTAGAACAGCCTCACACAGTTGACTATTCCTACATATACCTGTGTATGGCAGAACAAGCTCACACATTTGACTATTCCTACATCTGTGTATGGTAGAACAATCTCACACAGTTGACTATTCCTACATCTGTGTATGGTAGAACAATCTCACACAGTTGACTATTCCTACATCTGTGTATGGCAGAACAAGCTCACACAGTTGACTATTCCTACATCTGTGTATGGCAGAACAATCTCACACAGTTGACTATTCCTACATATACCTGTGTATGGTAGAACAATCTCACACAGTTGACTATTCGTACATCTGTGTATGGCAGAACAAGCTCACACAGTTGACTATTCCTACATCTGTGTATGGTAGAACAAGCTCACACAGTTGACTATTCCTACATCTGTGTATGGCAGAACAAGCTCACACGGTTGACTATTCCTACATATCCACTTTTAGCGTAGCTTAAGATTTCTGGAAACCCCCGAAATCTGGGTTAGCCCGCTTGTCCTCAAAAGTGACCAAATGACAAAGGGGCACACCACACGACAGAGCACACTGCCAGGTACATACACGTGTGAGGGTAAGACCACTCCACGCCCGTTTGGATATGTTTTACGTGAGAGACAAACAAACTAGTTTTGGTCGTGTAGTTCCCATCAGAAATCAGGAAAAGCAGGAAAATTGTAAGCCTTGACCACAGCATCAAACAGTATCCTGGTCATGATCAAAGGTGCATCTTGGACAGAGCTTTGAGAGGGTGGAAAAATCGAAATTTCTCAAAATTTGAACTTAAGTGATTGCTTGCGACAGTGACGATATAAACTACACGAT